AGGGAGAGCAGACGCTGCAGTTCCAGCGTGGCGAGAGGAGCTCTGGGCCCGGAGCCAGAAAGCCAAGGAGGCTGGAGGGGAAGACACGCCCACAGAGGCTCTGCTCCAAACTGGAGGGAAGGAGCCGAGCCTGGGGAGGCTCGAGGCTGAGCTGGGAAGAGAGCGGGAAGCCTGGAAGCATGGGACATGCCCAAGGAGGCTCTACCCCAAGCACAGGGGAGAGAGTCGAGTGGAGTGGGGCGAGACACACCCGAGGAGGCTTTGCTTCCAGCAGGAGGGAGACAGCCGAGGTGAGAGGGGCGGGATACGCCTGAACAACCCGGACTGGGAGCCAGGAAGGAGTCCAGAGTGGAGGGTCTGGACACACGTGGAGGATGACAACCCGAGACTGGTGAGAGAGAACCCAAACCAGAAGGGTGGGACCCGCCCCACAGGAGAGAGCTGGGAGCCCACGAGGGAGAGCCGGTGGCAGAGAGGTGGGACACCCTTGGGGATCCCCAACTGGGGTAAAGCCGGGGGGGGGGGACTCTTGCAGTGAACAGCGGGGGAAGAGCTGTACACCGAGGAATGCGGCAACTCTAAAAACCCTGGGCACGAACCCGGTGAGGGACACAGACGATGGGGAACCAAAGGCTGTGAATTTAACAGCCTCGGAGAAAGGGATAAAAGAACCACAGCAGGATGAAAACAGTTTGAAATAAAGGACAAGGGAGCAAGAAGTTTCTAGAAGCCATAGAAACAAAAAAGACCTGTTGATTTTTATTTCCTTTGTTTATTGAACTTTGTTTTACCCTGAAAAGATGTACGGGGTCCAGGTGGCATGAGGAATGGGTGTAGGAGATGGTGGAGCCCCATATTTCACCATAACCGCGGGTTGCGGGGTTGTGCCATACAGGGCCTAGTTTCTTCTGTTTATGTGTTTCTTTCATTTGGAACATCCTCCCATAAAGCCAAAGAAAATAATAAAACATCATTATTAAACATCAAAGTTGTGGCAGGTGAGATCTTTTCAAGGGAGAGGGGTTAAAAAAGGGGTACTATATGATCCCTTTTCCTCTATAAAGCTGAACACTACAGTGTCATCCTGTGAGGACCATAAGCCCTATAGCACCTATAGTCCACATACAGTATGTAAAATTATCACTACAAATGGAGAGTGTGCCTGTTACTCTCATCTGCTTATCAAATTGTCATTAGCTATCTGATTTCCCACAGGCATTTTGGTACAGGTGAGCCTTCAGGAGAAATTTGAAGCAAGTAAAGTGCTTGTTGTCTTTTGTACAGGGAAAGTGTTCTGTGCACAGAGTGAAGAAGGAATGGGAGGGGAATCCGATGAGTAGGTAGGTATGAGGTATCAGCAATCCCCTGGTCTACATAATTGTTCTTAAAATCAATGTTTGTAGCCAGGCACAACCTGGGCTTTCTGCTCATGCTTCAGGACAAAACAAGATTGTTGTAATGGTTAGGAATAAAATAGTTTCCTTATCTCCCACAAACATGCCTTTCCACTGCCTTTGAAGCTCTCTTCCTTTTTTCCTTTCCCATTTTCTTTACATTTCCTTTTTTAAAATTTTCTTCCCCCTTACTCCTATTCCTTTACTTTTTTTCCCATTCCCTCTCCACTCTGACAAGACCCATCTCTCTCTTTCCTTCGTCCTCTTCTGAATCCAAATGTCCACCTCCACTTCCCTCTGCTCTATTATTTACCTTCCCTCGATGCCAGGTTTGTCATAGCACTGGAAGCCATAGCGAGGCTCCTTGCTGTTACCTGGTACATGCCAACATCCTCTGGTTGCACACCCAGGAGCACCCTGGAAACATCTGGAAGCAGGTGTTTGCCTGTTGGGGGTGAAAACTTGCATCATGCTGGACTGGCAGGTATAGCCCTGGGACACCAGGGCAGGTAAACTAGGACAGGAGAGTTTCCTGTCACAAAATCCCACTCAGCATGGTAGAGTTCCTATGCTGGATTTGGGAACTGGTGGGGCAGGGATAGAAGTGTGGTCCTGCCAGGGAAAACTCAGACTGGGTTCTGCAGTGTAATGATGGACGCAGCTGAGGTGCTGCATGGAGACAAGGCTAAAGGCTGTTTCCACCTGCAGGTTTAAAGAGAACCTCTGTGGTTGTGTCTATGCATGCATTAACATGCTTTAGTTAAGGCACATGAAATCTAGTACCTTTGGGCATTTTTACACGTATGCACTGCAGCACTGGGTGCTTTCAAGTGCGCCCAGTACTGCAGTGAGTACAGTTGTATAAACAGCCAAATGCACATCAGCATGCAGAAAATGGTGGTGGTCTGCTTTTGAACTAAAACATATTGAAGGTGTTTTAGTTCAAAAGCACACCGCTGCCATTTTATCTGTGCTGAAGCACATTTTGCTACTTATACAACTGCAAGCGATGCTACACAGTGCGCATCAGTTCACATGCGGAGCAGACTCGATTAATCGGTCAAGTTGGATTAATCAAGTCTGCTTTGACACGCTGGATCTCCGGCACGGTGTAGCGTGAAAAAGTATATGTATAAATGCCCTACATTGTGAGGTACTAGGAAACTGTGCATCAGCCTGTCTTAATGCACATTAACTAAAGAGCACAGTTTTGAAGTGACGCTTAATGTGCATTACAGTAGTTTAATGCATATTAGCTAAATAGCACAGGGTGCCTATACACAAGCAGGAAGGCTGCTCCACCGCTCTGCTCCAATGCATCAGAGCAGACTTGATTGACTGAGTCTGCTGGAGCATGACAATTACCACGCTCCAATAGCTTCCAGCATCTTGTGTATCAGCATCCCCACATTTCAAAATGGTGACAGGGGTGCTTTAGCTAAAGCTCATTCAATTAAATCTAGGTAAAGAGCCCCACCACCATTTTGAAGTGTAGGAATGCTAATACATGAGATGCTCTGGGTGCTTTAATTAGAGTGGCTCTTGGAGCCTCTGTAATTAAAGCCCCAACCCTCACCTCCCCACTCCTGGAGCACTTGTATGAACACGGTTAGTTCTGAAATAGTTAAGGAGCTCCTGGAGGAGCTGGATGGGTACAAGTCAGTAGGCCCGGATGACCTCCATCCACAGCTGCTGAAAGAATTGGCCAGTGTCATAGCTGAGCCGCTGGCACAGCTGTGTGAACACTCGTGGTGCTCCAGCCAGGTCCCTGAGGACTGGAGAAGGGCCAATGTGGTGCCCATTTTCAAGAAAGGGAGAAGGGATGAGCCGGGTAACTTTAGACCAGTCAGTCTTACCTTTATTCCTGGGAAAATGCTAGAGAAAATAAGCAAAGAACACATTTGTGCAGGCCCAGCAGGGGAAATGATGCTGAGGGGAAGCCAGCACGGGTTTGTCACAGGTAGATCCTCCCTGGCAAACCTTGTAGCCTTCTATGACCAGGTCACACACTGCCTGGATGCAGGAGCTGAGGCCAATGTCATCTTCCTGGAATTAGGAAGGCCTTCGACACAGTTTCACACCCTATCCTCATTGGGAAGCTAGCAGACTGTGGAGTGGATGCCTATACGGCCAGGTGGGTGGCCAACTGGATTAGGGACCGCACCCAGAGAGTGGTGGTGGATGGGTCCTTCTCGGCCTGGAGGGAGGTGGGCAGTGGGGTATCACAGGGTTCGGTCCTCGGACCGATATTATTTAATATCTTCATCAGCGATTTGGACGAGGGAGTGGAAACTCTCTAAGTTCGCTGATGATACCAAGTTATGTGGCAAAGTTAGTACACTGGAGGGCAGGGAGCAGATTCAGACCAACCTGGATGGGTTGGATCAATGGGCAGAGAGAAATAGGATGCAGTGTAATAAAGATAAATGTAAGGTACTCTACCTGGGAAGGAGGAATCCCCAGCACACCTATAGGTTGGGGAGTGTCCTTCTCAGCAGCTTAGAGGCAGAGAGGGATCTTGGAGTCATAATTGACTCCAAGATGAACATGAGCCAGCAGTGTAACGAGGCCAGCAACAAGGCCAATCACACCCTGTTGTGCATTAGCAGGTGCATGACTAATAGATCAAAGGAGGTGATGCTCCCCCTCCATGCGGCACTGGTCAGGCCGCAGTTGGAGTACTGTGTCTTGTTTTGGGCGCCACACTTCCAGAGGAGGGCCACTCACATGATTAGTGGCCTTCGTGATAGACCCTACGGGGGGAGGTTGAGAGAGCTGAATCTCTTCAGCCTTCACAAGAGATGGCTGAGGGGAGATCTTGTGGCCGCCTATAAATTTATTAGGGGAGGTCAACGGTGAATAGGGGAAGCAGTGTTTACTAAGGCGCCCCAGGGAGTGACTAGGAATAATGGGTATAAACTAGTTGAGAGTGTATTTAGGTTAGATATTAGGAAGAAATTTTTCACAGTAAGGGTGGCCAGGATCTGAAATGGGCTTCCAAGAGAGGTGGTGCTATCACCTAGCTTGGAGGTTTTCAAGAAGAGGCTAGATAGTCACCTGGCTGGAGGCATTTGACCTAAGTCCTCCTTCCTGCCAGGGGCAGGGGTCGGACACGGTGATCCATTGTGGTCCCTTCCGACTCTACAATCTAGGAATCTATGAATCTAAGAAACCCAGCTTTTTTAGTGATGCTTTAATGCATGTTAAAGTAGAATAATGTAGGATAATGTACATTAAAGCACACATTAGCCCCGTGTCTGCTGAAAGATGTCAGGCTGACCACCTGGAGAACTTAGGGAAAAAAACATGGGCCCCATGCAAAGCCACCCATTTGGCCTTCTGATATGGATGGCTCATTGTGAGCATGTTTCAGCCTTATTCACAGCAGAAGCTAAGACACATCCTTGGTAACACTGTCCCTCTTCTGACTCCATCCTCACTTTAATTGCCCTTCACAGGAAAGACTGCTGTTACTACTGCTTAAGTAAGGATAGGTCTCTTTCTGAAACACTGGGAGTGTCTACACGGTCACCAATGAGCCTTTGCTACTGCACATTAAGTTTAGTACCTCTACTGTGGAGTACTAGATAAAGGCGCAGTAGCTGCGCTAATGCTGAGTAGTGAAGGTGAACTTTTTTTTGTGATGCTTAATGTGCAGTAGACTAATTCTACTGCACATTAGTGAATTAGCATGGTTTTTGCCATCTCATGCTAAAGTACAGTAGAGCAGTCCACTGAATATTAAGGTATCTCATGTAGATGTGCCCACTGTTCCTAAGTTTAGATGCTGAAAAGGCTTGGAATGTGGATTAAAGGGAGAGTTGGGGCCGGGGGTTAAGTATATTGGGTGAGTGTGAGGTAGAAACTGATATCAAAGGTGGAGTCAGTGACTAGCACAACTCTTGGGACAGCTCCTCAGTAGATTTGTTTGCAGAAACTTAGAGCAGAAGTTCTGGTTTTGTGTCTTGATCCCTGGTCTGCCTAGTGGGTTTCACTAATCCTTGTCTAATTGGTACCTAGTGGGCACATCTACATGCGCATTTACGCCAGCTTAAATTTACCGCACAGTAAGTTACTGCACAGTAAGCAGGCATTTAAGTGCATTAACACTGTGTGTAGCATTAACTGTGCAGTAACTAATTGGGCATAAATTTGATACCTGCATGATGCAGGCATCAAATTTACACTCAAGTTGGCTTAAGTCACCATATTTACTGCACAGTACAGGTATGCATGTGTAGATGCGTGCCTGTGTTGCACAGTAATTTTGGTTACTGCACAGTAAATGAGCATGTGTAGATGTGCCTAGTAAGATACTTTTCAGTCCCCCCCACTGTGGATACAGTACTATTGAGAAAGAGAGAAGGGTAACTTAAACAGAAGTGTAGCTCAAAAAGAGGGGATGCTTTTGGGAGATGGGGGACAAAAGAAGAGATGGAAAACATGGGGAAGCAGTTGAGACGATTTATTGAGGGCGGAAAAGCAGAGATGGACAAAGGGTAGAGAAGGAGTCGGGGCAATGGGGTGGTGTAGACCATGTAGTAAGAAAAGTTATAATTTAGAGAGAGACCGTAATTTAGAAGAGTTGGGAATTGGGAGAGGTCCCTCAGTCAGAGAGTACCAGTTAGTTAGAGAAACAAAGGGTCTGCAGAGGCTTATCTAGCAGTCCACAAAAAAGGTGTTTAGGTCTTCTCACTCATGCCCGACTGTCTTCACTGAAACTCCTGTTCATTACAGACCTCATAAGAAATGAAACATCATAGTTTATTAGGGGAAAGGAAAAGGAGCAGAAGAGGCATGAAGTCAGGAAGGGAAGAAGGCTAAACAAAGGCGAGAGACACAGGGCTACTTACACTTTCTAGAATTTATTGAGTGGAAAGTTGATTGACAATGTATCACAATTAAATATAGCATGAATTTTAGCTTCTCTTGAAATTGCGGAAGTGCTATTTTTCACTGAACCTCCGGGCTCAGTCCTTGGATTTTTAGGGGTTGGATACATTCTTCCAGCCCAAAAAATCAGAGTGGTGACTTATGTACAGCATTGATCAGAAGCACTGACAGCATTATAGTATCAAAAACTGCTTGCAGCTTGAGCTGAGACATGGGATCAGCTAGACCAGTCAGACTGGGTCTGATGTGTCACAGAAGCTAACCAATATTTATTTTCATTACAAAGCAATAACTATGTAAAAAAGGAGAGATCTCAGGAATCCCAAATCTGGTGTGAACTCTGCCTCTGGACTCTGAAGAGGCAGGTGAATTTCCACCTCACCTCCTTCCTTCTCTCAGATCCTCTTCACATCAGGGATGGGAAACAAATGTCTAGAGCTTTTCCAAAATATGAAAGCAGCACTAGTTGGCTGAAGATCATGGTGTCTTTCACCGCTTGCTTTAAAACAAAAGGCGGCGGCACAAGTGAGGGGCAGGTCACTGTTCACAACAGTGCCTGTTTGGGGGAACTCAGGCTAGCTTTCAGTGGTTTGCAAAGAGCAGAACTGCTGGGGGTGCCGATACAACCCTTGCTCTGGGAGCTTTGTGGTTCTCAAATCACAGCATTCCTCCACGCCTCTCAGAGACCCGCAATATCCTGTTTTAATTTTTTCTTCCTCTTGTCGGTAAAGCAAAGGAAACAGGAGATTGTTACACTTAAATTTAGGACTGACACAGGCAGAAGTTACATCCTTACGATGTGTGGATGATCCTGCAAAACTTGTTACAACTGGTATTTAGGGAGATATGAAGGCTGTCACTGATTTTTTTTTTCTTGGATAAGAGGGTTTTTTGCGTTTTTTTTTGCATACAACACATTTTCCCCCCTCAAACCAGCTACTGGAACTTGTAGTGAACTTTACATGCAAGAAATATGGTAAGAACAGTTTCTGTGAGTTACAGGCAAAAGTCAAAGTAAAAATCTGCACTCAACTCATAGGGAGCAGAATACACAGGCTGTGCTCCCTAGTTGCTCTTACTCAGTTACTTACTACAAGAAAAGATATTTTTTCCTTCATTCTGCCTTTCAAAAACAAGTTGCAGATTATATTCCAGGGCATGTTGTATGTGAGAAAATATGGTATTTCCCTAGCTCTTTTCATGCTGGTTGGATAATTCTAGGTCAGTGTTTGAAGATGATAGATTAGCCTGAAGAAGAAAGCTCAAAGCGGCAGTTTGGTATTGCACCACGGACCAGTCATTACAGGCAGTGCCTTCTTTCCCCCAAACCATCACGGGCTAGTCTTTCTCCACAAGAGGCAGCTGAACTGGGTAGATCAGATGTGAAGGGTTGTGCAGGTTCAGCCAGGACTGCAGCTGTAGTTGGGCTCTGATGTTGTGTCGGTCTTAGGCAAGCACGTTCTGGAGTAGGGAAGAAACATCAGAATTGGGTATTTTTGGTCTCATTAATGATCTTGTGAAAATCCATCAACTTACCTCCTTTCATAACTGTCAGTCATCTTACCCTTAATATGCAAGTCCCAAAAAAAGTGGTGAGGAGACGGCCCCACCACACTCTCATATTAACAGGTTTTCAGGGACTTGATTCGGCTGAAATGGGATCACACTTACGCGCTTAAATCTCCTTATGCGCCCAAGTGGAAGAAAATTTATCCCAACGTCTCCTTTATGCATGTGAATCAACTAATCAGTTCATGGTTGTTTTGCCCCCCTATTCGCAAGGAGTTACATCAAGTGCGGGTGCAAGCTGGAGGAATGGTCTTAACTATCCCATGGCTGAATGTGACTATCCCTGTCTACACAGATTGCAACACTGGGGTGAACACGGCATTAACTGACATGCCTCTGTAAGTCCATGTTCTCATCTGATGCTGTTTTCAGCTGAAGGCAAGATATGAGAGGCAGTCATCTCGCATGTGTGCACACATGCGCACAACTACTGGCTCATTAAAAATACCCTTAGTCTCCTCTCCCTCTACAGTTCCTTGTGATCCTTTATAGGGAGTTTTGATGAGGTTGGCAGGGTCACTCACCTCTCCCACTATCAGTCCCAAGACACAGAGAACCAGGAAGGCTAACACCAGCCGAACAATGGTAGTAACGCTGAGTCCTTCTGGGAGCGCCGAAGGAAGAGGAGGTGAATCAGCCATGGAGAGACAAGGGAGGGAACAGATGTTAGATAGTCACTTCCTCGTCTCGAATTATCCAGCTGCAGCTATCCATCAAGGGCTAGAAAGGATCACTGTCCTGCCCCCTGAACCAACAATGAGCCTTGGAGGCAGTAATGTAGAGAGCTTGCACAAGTCCCCTTGTGGGGAGAGGAAGAAAAGCAAAGAAGATGAAAATGAAACAGCACTGTATATATCTATATTAGTGGTGTTTCATTTTAATCATGGGAAAATGTGGATTTGGGATTATTTTTTTATATCTGAAACTTGGGGATTGTTTTTTTTATCAGAGAAAACCAGGATCCCTGCTCATGTTCCACCATTTCCTCTTCTTTGCTTTTCTCTCTCCCCTTTGCCATTGTGCATCCCAGTGAATCCAATTTTCAGCCTTCTGCCTTTTTCTGCTTGTTTTTCGCATCACTTTTTTTTTCCCTCTTAATGTTTATCTTGGCTTTGTCACACTCACGGTTACTTAACTATCCACAAACTTTTCTAATAGCCTTTTTGAGGTGTAGTTTTGGCACATCTTGTCTGAGTTCCTTTGTGGTTTCATTTCTGCCCCTTAAAGCTTGGTGTCTCAAAACAAAAGATTTATTTCTGTACACAAAGTAAACACAAAGTAGAAAAACCTTTACAGAATGAGAGGCAGGGCTGGAAGGGACCTGAAAAGGCCACCCAGTCCAGCCATTTGCTCAGACTAGGGTCACCCTAAATGAATGATCCCAGCCAAGTGTTTGTGAAACAGGGGCCCTTGCCCTGTTATTGAGAGCAAGGGATTGGGAACAGTGCCTTTAAGAGAAGCTCCTGGGAGGCTGGAAGAGGCAGGCTAGAGATTCCCTGCACCCAAGGCAGAGAAAGCAGTCTCACCTGGGCAGAGCTGGAGGAAGGAGCTCACAGCTGGGAGCTTTGTAAAGAACCGTGGAGAGTTGGAGACGGATCCTGATGGAACCTGAGCAGCAAAGCCAGAGACTGCAGAGGCAACTGTGAGTAGGTCCAGGAGGGCCCAAGTGGGGAGAAGCCTGCGGAGCTGGGTAGGAACCTGGGGGAGCTTAGAAGGCACCCCAGCTGTGACTGATTGCATCTGTGTTTGCCTTTGTTTGCTGTTTAGGCCACCAGGCAAGGGAGTGGTAGAAGGGGAGGAAAGGAGGCCACTAGAGATACCCCACATAGGGACCTAGACTATTGCTGCATTGGTGGGCTGACAGAAGGTCAGAGAAGGGTGACCAGGCTGCCAGAGCCTTGGGACACCTAGGGCGGAGGGGCAGGAACCCCAAGAGACTGGGCAAAGCAGAGTGCCCATGACCATGCTTTGTTTCTCGGAAGGCAACATCTCACCTATAGTACTAACATCCAAGGCGTGGCAGACGAGGACAAGGGAGTTTCCCAGGATACCAGCATGCCAGGAATGGGATTAGAGTATCCCAAAGGAGTGCCACTCCTGCTTCTAGGGATGGATCCCATTCCAGTTTACTTAACCTGCATATAAATGTTTCTATTGATGGGGAATTCCACAGCCTCTCTGGACAATCTGTTCCTTCAACCTGGGTCTCGTGCTTGCACTCCCTTTCCATCAATGTGCTCTGTCTCCCTCAGAACTCTTATCGCCCCCTTACTCCACTGCCCCAGCCCTGCCTCCGCCAGCATTTTCACTGAAGGCTTCCTTTCCTTTCAGCATCAATACCCGCCCATTTACTTCAGCTTATGTAGTACATAACCCTATGGAAGGCAGCCTAGCATCAAACACTAAGAATTTATTGGTAAAGTGGTTGCTACTTTTCTCCGAATTTTACAGTGCCCCCTCACTGATATTTAAGTGCTTGGAAAAGAGAAGGGTTCATCTCTTAGCTGCTGATGGAGGATTTTTTTGTTTTGTTTTTTTGTTTTTGGTAAAGTTTGAGTCACACCATTGCAGGGAGTTTTATAGATTCCCAAACACTCCTGTTTTGTTTGTCAGCCAGGAAGAAACTGCTTCCTAACTTGCACTTGTATGGGACTGTATGCTATATTTCTGTAGGTCGTGTTTGTTTTACTCTAAGCATCTTGACACCCAAGTCAGCAACGTACTGAGGGGGAACTGGAAGAAGGGCAGCAAAAGTGATGCAGCTCCTCAGAGGGGTGAGGGCAAGGGAGCAGACCAGGTCTAGAGATAGTTTCATAGTGCTTAGGGTCAGAAGGGACCTAAACAGATCATCAGGTCCGACCCCCTGCTCTGGACAGGAATGAGTGCTGGGGTCATAACACCCCAGCCAAATATCTGTCCAGCCTCCTCTTGAAGACCCCCAAGATAGGAGACAGCACCACCTCCCTTGGGAATCCATTCCAGAGCCTGGCAGCCCTAACTGTAAAGTAATGTCTCTTGATGTCCAGCCTGAACCTTCTCTCTAACAATTTGTAGCTATTATTCCTAGTAACCCCGGGTGGTGCCTGAGGGAACAGAGCCTCAGCCAGTTCCTGCTGGTCCCTCCTGGTGAGTTTGTAAACAGCCACCAGATCCCCTCTCAGCCTTCTTTTGTGGAGGCTGAGAGGGGATCTGGTGGGGATGACAGTGAATCAGAGGGGATCTGGGGGGGATAACAGTGAATTATGCAGAGTGCACAGTTTACTGGGTGCTATGGGGTGATGGCACCAGGCTTACCTCTGTGGTGCTCTGTGAAGGCTGCTTGCACCATGATAGGGTAGAGCAGTGCCCAAGTGCAGCTCCAGTACACACCAGCCCCAGCGGACATAGGGCTGTCAGCTTTCTTGGCTCTTTTTGTTCTCTGCCTACTGCTTAGAGACCTGACATCTATTCCTCAACCCACTCTGCTCCATTCTTATGAACAGAGAGACTCAGTCCTTCCTCCTTCCCCTCTGTTATGGCCCATCATGACCTCTGTTACCTTCTCTCCTGGATGGGTTTGTCTCCTTTGGGTAATCTCCCATCACCACAGTTTTGGCTTCCCCTCCATCATCTTCTGTCACCAGGGGGCTCGTCTCCCCTTGGCAACCTTTTGTTACCATAGGGCTGACTTCCTTTCTGCTACCTTCTATCCTCATGTTATCTCTTATTAAACTTGGGCTTACTTTCCTCATGGTTGGATTCAATTCAAGTGTGATACCTTTCCCCACTGCTGGGATCACGTCCTGTCTGCTTTCTTCCACAATCAGGGTCACCTGTGCAGTGCCTAACACATCCAGACCTTGCACCGTTATCTGGTACATCCCAGCATCCTCTGGTTGCACGTTCTTCAGCACCAAGGAAGCTTCCTGGGAGATGCTTGCCCGCTGCTGATAAACTTCATGCAGCTCTGTGCTATGATGGCAGGTGCGTTCCTGTGTCCCAGGGGCCCCTCTGCAGTTGTCCACCACGTAAACCAAGATGGGATGATTCTTTGTGAGGAAAACCCACTTGACATGGTAGTACTCCCAGGCTGGGTTCTCAAAGTGGATGGAGACAAGGAGAAGAGCAGTATCATGGACGAAGACCTGGACTGGGTTCTGCTGTGGAAGGATGGAGAAGGCAGCAGAGGCAGCTGTGTTGGAGAAGGACAGGGGGCGAAATCACTTATGGGAATCACCTCAAATCAATAGGGTTCCAGCAAAGAAATTTCTCTACCCCCTCAATGGGAGAGCCTCAAATTTAATAAGAGTATTTCCCATCTGTGTTACTCCAAGCTGCTCTGCTCCTCTAGGCAGCACAAGGTTTGGGATCCACATGGGACAGGCCAGTAGGAAACAGGCTGTTAACTGGGGATTTTAAATTTTTCCCAGTGGCCTCCATTCATCACCCCTGATCGCTAAGTCAGCTTGCTGCCCTGACCAGATGGTCAATTCCCATGTCTGTTTTAGCTGGTCCCTGGGCTGAGAGAGCCCCTAAAGCCACAGGAATCCTTTGTGGCAGCACTGAATAAATGTGCTAGCTGGGGTACTGGAAGCAACAAGAGTTTGTTTTTTAGGCTAGATCAGCCTGCATTTAGCTGTGTGCTACCACAGTGGGACTGATTCCTTTACCCCAGTGGCTCTAACACAGCATGAATCAATGCTCTGATTAGGAGACATCAAACTTTCTCCCCTTTTGTAACTCAGGCCTGTGAAAACAGCAATGATTAAGGATTAAATTGCTACTCACCTACCAAGGTCCAAAAAAGCACCACTTTGATCATGGCCATAGAAGGCCTGGTTCTTGCCCCACACCACAGGCACCCGTCAGTTGAACCAAAAACTCAGCTTCTCGTTGTCCTTCAGGGAGGTAAAGGTATCCACCAGGTATGCCTTCATGTATGCCTCTTCCAGGGAAATGAAAGTCCTCTTCCAGATTTCTTCTTTGGGTGTGTGAGATGACCAGTGTAGAGTGATAATCTGAGGAGGTCTCAGCGGCTGAGGATGTGGCATCACAACTGGAGAGCTCTACCCCAACCACAGGAAATGCTATGACTCTATTTAGCCAGTCAGCGGCACAGCAGATGTATCCAGCAGCACTTGCTTCAAAGAAAAGTGACCTTCAAACAGGCAGAAAATGAACAGTGACAAACGGCAGTTCTGAGTAATGCACGGGTGTGTCAAGCAGGAGTGAACAATGGGGGCAGGGGGAAGGGTGCACTGAAGACAGAAGCAGGAAAGAGGTAGGCCAGGTGGAAGTAAGCAGCCTGGGAGATGTTGGTAGAGCATGGGAGGTGTGAGCAGAGGTGCTATGCAGACTGTAACAGAGTCCCGGCTGCAACTCTGTTACTAAGAGGGGCAACAACTGAAGATGATTAACACAGCTGGGGGAGAGACGCACCCCACACCCTGGAGCCAATGAGGCTCAGGATGGAGGGATAAGAAGGGGAGAAGACCCGCCAGAAGCTGCCTTCGGGCACCAAGAGATTGCAAAACACCGGCGAGGAGCACCGTGACAAGGGATCCCGAGGAGAACCCAGAGGCGGGGGGCTCACTCTCCCAAATGGAGACAGGAAGTCAGGACTGAGCCTTCCCTCCTCGTTAAGTACCTGAAATTCTCAGCAACCGTGGTGAGTCCTGGAGAGTGGAGCAGTGGCACGGAGAAAAGCCGCGGCTCCCGGTTAAGCCGTAGCGGGATTACCCAGGAGGGAAACAGGGGCAGGGGGACACCCAACCGAGCCCTGAAGAGACGGAGCCCCAGCACCCTCACCTGGAGGAGAGAGGGTGGGGGGGACAGAAGATTGAGACTGAGCCGGGAGCCCCACGCCGGCGCAGAGTACGACAGGAGGCTCCCGGTCCCGACAGAAAGTAGCTGCTAATGAGGCAATTAGCGGTGGATGACTGGGATGCCACGAGATCCTTACCGCCTGAGTAAATTGATGGGGATTGGCCTGAATACACAGGGGGTTTCCACGGAGGGTCTGCCGGGCTGCCTCCTCCTCCGGGTGTACCCGGGAAGAATAGTACAAAGACCTAGAATAATAAAGTGCCACTAACCTACATCGATATAGCGTGGTCCTTCCCGTGGGTACCTGCGCGGTCAACATCCCCTTCCTCCCCATTGTTTTTTTAAGATCAAAAGTCGTGGCAGGCGAGAATCCCGGGGATAGGGGGTACCCGGCATAGACACGCTGACACAGACAATAGAGAGCTGCGCCTTCTGGAGAAAGCCTGCTCCTGTAAAGCAAGAACATGGCAGCTCACTACCCCATCCACTGGGCCCTGCTCACCTTCTCACCTCACCTGATGCAGATGCTCTTTAGTTTCCTCCAGAACAACTGAGTTTACAGCTCTCACTCTTCACCCACTGCAGCTCTCCTGTGTCCTCAGGATCTCCCCCTTCCCAACAGCTTAGAAATTCAGATGCCTGTTGGGTGGTAGTGGAGGTTCATTAGAGAGCTTGAAACAGAACCTGCATTGAGTCTCATGGTCCAGGCTTGTGGGGGGGGAAGACGCCACTCGGCCCCTCAGTGCTGTGGGATCTGAGCCCATCAATGCTGTTGGTCACATAAATGCCTCTTACAGTACAGCCATCTGAGGCTGTCACTGTGTTTCATGCTCGGTCCTTGCAACAGCCCATACGCGGTCAGTGGCGGGGTTTTCCCCTTGTATTGTCATATGTTGCTGCAGGGTATTATGGTGGCTTTTTCAGAGAGATGGTTTATTTCTCAGCTGGAGTGTTCTCGTTGGGTAAGGCAGTTTCCAATTTAGCAAGATGGGTGTCATGAGTATTATCCTCAGAACAGATGTGGTTGGATCTGAGGGGCCGACTGTTGATCACTGCTTTTTTGGTGTGTTTGGATGATTTCTGGTTTTGTGGCCGCAAGTGTGGAGATCCATGGGTTTCTGTATACAGGCAGTCCTTGACTTACAATGGTTCGAGTTACAATGTTTCGCGCTTACAAGGTTTGTAAATTGACACCCTGTTTCAACTTTCTGACATCAGTTTCGACTTTACAACGTTTGATCTGACATGACACGGTGCCAGCAAACGAGTTCACTGTGTTGCCTGTCTCCCTGGAAAACATCTGTCCAAACTTCCTTGGACACTTTAAGAAAGCAGACAAGACTCCTGAGAAGACTCCAGCCAAGAGCCCTTCAAAAAGTCCAGCAAAGTCACCTCAAAGAAGTCCTTCCAAATCAATATGATTGCTATTTATGATATAAATACATTAACGTAGCTATGTTAGTCATCTATAATTGATTGAGTACAAAATTCTGGGTTATTTTTGGTGAAAATAGGGTATCAGACTTTGGTTCAGGAACCAATTCCCCATTTATAACATTGTTTTCAATGGGAAAATTGGTTCCGAGTTACGTTTCGATTTAAGACACGGTTTTCAGGAACCAGTTGTGTCGTAAGTCCGAGGACTGCCTGTATAATGGTTTGTAGGGTGCTCTCCTTGATCTTGATTATGGTGTCTGCAAGGTTGATGTCAGACTTGGAGCGTGTTATTTGAGGTAGTAACTGTTTCTCACAGTCGGTGCAATTCTGTGCTCCAGGTCCTCTTCAGTTTGTGTCACTCTCTGGGAAGGAGCCTGTAAAGGCCCGTCTTGGATACCTTACACATTAGTTCATGCCATCAACATTCAGCATTAATTTGACTTCCAGCTATGCACAGGTTAATTCATTTATCATTAAAAACACGATAGCACAGGGATCAGCAACCTGCAGCACATCCAGCTCGCAGAGAGATTGTATCTGGTCTGTGGTACTGTTCAGTAGCATTTTGGAGGAGAGATAAGTGCTAGCCTGCAGCAGCAAAGGAAGTGGAAGCAGCTGAATCACCACCAGAAGAGCCTGCCTTTGAACTTAGTTGCATTCCTTTGGCCCCCTGTTGCCATGTAATTTTTCTCTGCTAAATCTTTAGATTGCATGCAAATAGTATTTTCTTCTGACAAAGATTTTCCCAAGCCTGAACAGTTTTATTCCCCTTGCTGTCTCAGAAAAGCTTAATTATTTTGTGATAGCACAATATGGAAAAAATCAAGTGCACTTAGTTCTGGTTGCTCAATCAGGACCTCTCCACAATATGGGAGATCAGCTGTTAATATTACTAGAATAAGGGTATTATAATAACCATATACTATTGATATATTGTTAATATCTTTATTTTGGCATTATTTTAGGGAATAACTCTGACCCTGCTCTTCTGGCTCCAAAAGCACCTTTGTAGCAATATTTGCACGGGAATTGCTATAGACTCAGCTTTGAACTTGCAGGGGCACCCCCCGGCCCCCATCCCCTCCCGTCCTCCCGGGGTGCGCACAGTGGGAACCACCCCCCACCCCAAGTTGCGGCTTTGTCCTGTGCCCGCCCTCCCCTGGCTGGGCAGTGCCTGCCCCTGCATCTGCCCCCTCCCTCAGCACGGGGGGCATTAATTAAAGGGGCCCCCCATGCCCCTTCCCTTCTCTCTCCCCTTCCACCACAATGGATTTACCAGCTGGAGGCAGCTCTCTAAGCTGCTGGCTCTGCTTCTCACTACCTGCATGTTGTGCTGCAGCTGCATGCAGCACGGCATTTATTTTCCAAATTATCAGCCCCATTAGGCTGATGTCTGATACAGCAATTTTTTTTATATTGGTACCGATCCGATATTGGACTAATGTATCAGTGCACCGCTAGATGTCACTCTTTAGTCACAATTCTCTCTCTAAAGCATAAGTTGCCAAAGTTTCACTTAGCCATTGTGCATGTGTAAAGGCCTGTGTACACAGGCTCAGTTTGTTCATCATTTAAACGAGTTGTATACAGTAGTGTCTGACCTGGCCATGGCAATTTTGGATTTCAGCTAATCATCCCTGTGCCTATACGGCCCCTCCCCAATACATATACTCTAATGTGACTAATAGAAGAGGAAGGCCCAACAATCTAGTCACTGGGGGAATGAAGTGCTGCATCTTACCTCAAGTAGTTATTGGATAAAATGCATAAGCCGTGTCCAGAGCAGGGAGCAGAACTTAAGACTTTTGCTCTTCTGTGGACAGACCATCCCACTGGCCTAAAGAAAGGCTACTTCTTGTTTGCTCTGCATGAAGCTCCAGAACAGATGTGCCCAGCAAAATTTTAGACATAATAGTGTACAGTGTTGTCACAACTAAGACTCTGATCCATCTAGAAAAGTTACATCCAAGAATGAGAACATACAACATTCGGAGTGCTCCAGAGAGGAAGTGGACAGACAGATATGCATTTTGAAGCGCTCCAGAAATAACCCTTGATCCAACAGCAACTTTTTGAAGCACTTTATTCTGAAGCGCATCCAGTTATATCTGAATCTGTACAACATGAACATCCAGCTTTTAAGTGACTGGAAACTATAAGGGGGCCACAGGACTGCAGATTGCTTCAGACTGCATGGATACCCTGCCAACTGCACGGTGTGGACACTTCCCTGCATCCCCCAATCACTACACTGTGTGCAAGCGCACACCCCTTGACCCCCAACAGGCTCACCCTCAGCTCCCACACTATACTGTACTGCCCCTCCCCTGGAGCTGGGACAGGAACCAGAAGCTAGAGGAGAATGGGGAAGATTGGAGACTCCAGCCACTGCAGCAGGGGCCAAGCTCAACGTGAGCAAAAGCTCCTGCCTAGTCCTGGGTAAGCTCAAGGACCTGTCGCCTCTGGGGGTCTCCACCCCCAGGAGGAGGTAAAGATCCTTGGGATGGAGTTTGACCAAGAGCTGACAGCATGGGAAGACAGAGGGCCAAGGCCAGACAGAGACTGGGGCTATGGCAATCACACTGCCTGTCCATGGTGGGGGCAGATGGCGCTGATGAAGGTGGTGCTCCTGCTGCTACACACCGCTCTAGTCTCCCCCGCTCAGAACAAGTCATTTGCAGAATCCAGAGAGCCAGGTGTGTTTTCTTTTGGATCTCCACATGGGAGAAGGTGGCAAGGGAGAAGCTGTACAAAGTGAAACGGTTTGGGGGCAGAGGAAGGCCAGATGTTCTGCTCTTCCTCTGGGCCATGCACATGAGCCAGGTTGGCAAACTGGTGACAGGGGTGGAATCTAAAAGAGCCGCTTTAAGTATTTTGCAGGGCAGTTGCTGCAACAGTGGCGAGTGCAAACAGCATCTAACAGGAGCCCATGGACCATGTTTTCCCTATGATTTTATGAGATCCTGAAGAGCTTTTGAGAGAAATACAAGTTGCACAACGCTACCCTAGCGACTCTGGTTAACCACTGCAAGATATGGGAAGTGGTACGGACAAAAGACACCACATTACTGGTAGACTTACTATCTGTTGGCAGCTGCCTGGCTGTGTGGGAGCGAATCTTCCACAAGGACCTGCAGAAGGAGCACAGAGACCTGAACTGGCAGGCAGCCTACCAGGTACTTCCCATGCGGGCATGGAGAAACAGTGCAGGGCAGAGAGGTCCATCCAACTGCCCGAGACAGATCTGCCACTGGCAGGCACAAACCATCAACCACCTCTTTTGGGACTACCCATATGCCAGAGAGGTGTGGAAGAAAGTCTGTGTGCTCCTTCTGGTGGTGACAGGTTTCAGAAACCTGACCGGGGAAGCCGTTCTCTATGGGCACTTGACCAGACAGCAAGGGATCCTGACAGTTCGCTTCCACCAGGTTGTCACCTGCTTCAGGTCTGCGCTGTGGAAAGCCAGGAACCTGCTCACAAAGAGACAGTCAGACCCCACAGTTGAGGACATAGGCAATGCGTAGGGAGGGCACACGGGGCATGTGCCCCCCTTAGATTGCCCACTGCCAGCCGGAATGGGAGGTGATGGCTGTTGCCCCCCCCGAGAACGTGGGGGCGCAAGAGAAGCACTGCCAGCAGTTCTGACAGCAGTGATTGGCCGCTGGGGGATCCCCCCCCGTTGGCAATCGCCGGCTGGTGCCCCCCCAGGATCAGGAGGCACCAGTCATCCATGGTGAAGGATGGTATTAAAATGTGGCCGAGTGGAATGCACTGGTACTACAAGAAGACAGAAGAGGACGACGGGAAAGAAATGGCAGACTTCATCTGGTGGAGAGGGGTCTGGTATAGACTTTTTCAGGAGTAGACCCTCTGAGGAGGGCAGCGGGTCAGGGTACAAGCAAAGTTCCCTCTGTCGGAGGTTCCAGCTCCTCTCCAACCATGCACAATAAAAAAATCTTGCCACATAGTAACTTTAATGCTTCACACCTGCCCAGAGAGGAGCTAACTGCAGCTTCCTGGAAACTTTGGGTGCTGCCCCTGGAGTGCGGCTTGGGAGAGAGGGACACTTACCTTGGCTGCGCAGGGGCCACTCTGCTCTGCTCCTCACTGTGCTGGCATCTCCATGGGGAGGGAGAGCAGCGCGGGGCAGGCAGCGGCTCCTCCCTGAGGCGAGGCGAGGCGGGGGCTGGGGCAGAGGCAGAGCGTGAGCTCCGGGGAACTGCTCTGCTCCCCAGCCCCTTCGGGCAAGCTTCGCATAGTGAGTTGTTTCTTAAATTCTCCTTTAAGTCTTTCTGATTAGAAAATGTAATTTTCCAAACTGATTTTTTCATATGGCTTTTTAATGCCTTTTGAAACATGGCAATATTTTCAGCTCTCTTGAGGTTTGTCTATATATCCTCCTTTGCCTCCCTGAACAATTTTTTAAAATAAATGTAGCTTTAGCTCAACCATTTTCATAGAAATAATATCTAACACTTTTTTTTAAACATTTCCACATTTGGAAGCTAGGTGGCACTCTGCACCTATCTTGACACACTACATGGTGGGTGGGCAAAATGTGGCCTGGGGGCCAGGTGCGGTCCACCAGGCCATTCTATCCGGCCCGTGGAGTCCATAAAAAATTTAGAAAATTAATATTTATCTGCTCCTGTCTGCCTGTCATGCGGCCCTCGATGACTTGCCAAAGCTTAGCAAGTGGCCCTCTGCCCAAAATAATTGCCTGCCTCTGCTACACCAAGATATTTTACAAAGTATTTCAGATATAATTTGAAAGAAAAAAAAAAAGAAACTTGTAGGCTTCTGTGTTATACTGTGGGGTGCACCAAAGTGGCACGTGCCGAAAGGGGGAGGTGGGACCATTTCGGGAACGGACCAAAGCAGTGCACTCATGGATCACTACACCTTAGAGCAGGGGCGGGCAATTATTTCGGGTGGAGGGCCGCTTACTGA